AAAAGAACTTCACCGACATTTGGCATATTCAGTAGTGCCATAACTGGAACTTATTTCGAATGAGCAACACAAATGAAAACGATAGCACGGTGCTAAGCACTAATGGTAACTTTACTCTCATATTTGGACTACATTTCTAGAGTTTAAAACCTTCATATGTGCTATTTTTGCTTCCCTACATTATTTGCTATTAGTTTCACAAGAAACTTACTTAGAGAGTAAGCAACGGCCAAGGTGAATGTGCCGATCCAACAGACAGCGATAAGTATCTAGAAGTATAATATTTTTGGTTACAGTGCGGATTCAAAAAGATAGTAAAGGTCTAACACCATTTTCTGCAACTGCAACCGCTAATGAGACTGGTGAAAAGCAACGCGGAGCAATTATTACGCAGCATTACTGACCCTAGTGTATTTTTTACTGCAGAAAAAGTTGGAGTTATCAGATATCACAGAAGCAAAGGGAATCCGGCGGACAAGAATGAATTTGAGGTCCAACGTAGCTTCTTAGGCAGCCTTGTGACTACGGTCAAGTCTAATGTTTAATTTTCATATGTATCTTCTGATACCGTGAACAGATAATTTCGACTTGTTTTCTTTGTTAGCTGCTGCTTTTACGCCGCAGCTCGCGTTACGAATATTTCACAAGAATGCTGGCTGACAAAACATTCCCCTCAGGCGCACTCGCTTGGTAAGGAAAGAAAGAAGTGCGGGTTCGAGTCCCCTCTAGCGCGATAGTTTTGTCCATAAGAAAAGAAAAAACCTTTATAAACAAAATAATTAAAATGGTTCGTTTCGCTCCTTCCTCAGACGAACCTTATTATTTCGTCAATCCCCGGAGCTCATCAGTGAGTTGGGATTGGCGAAATAAAGACACAGGGGAAAGACGAATAAACCTTGAGCTGACGTACAACCGTATAAACCAGCGTTCCTGTAGCAGTCCAGACATAGTCATATTGACAGTATTGTTGCAGTTTTTGAGTTTTCTTGGCGGATTTTGAATTGAACAAATTATTTAATGGCCTAAAGTTTAGATGCGATACCTTCTCCTAAAACTGAGTTCAATGTACAACCGTGGATGCGGAAATATTCGCTCCGCATACGGCTGACTGTTTCTACTACATAAAGATGAATCCCCTCAGGACGGTTACGAACCTCATTTATAAACCTATTTTCAGCTCCCAGGAGAATAAGTTTGCATTTCTTACTCCCCGGCGCAGTCCTATCTAATTTTTACAAGTCAACCATTAATCCCCTCGCTGAAATTTCGTCATAGGGCGCTTGAATATATTCTCGACCACGAAAGTGGAATATTATTATCAACTATACAAGTTTGCTGAGGGCTTTTCATAATGAAAGACGGCTGTTTCCAGATTTTTGGCGGCTTTGGTCCATCTCGGAAGTAACTTTCATCATTAACAAGGATTTCTTACATCCGACTTAAAAATGGCCGTTGATTAGCCAAGTTATCAGTTGAACTGAAAAAAGTATTCAGAAAAACGCAACCCATTTACCGTGGTGTTCCGAAGCGTGCAGAATTTATTATAGAGATGAATAGAGAATGACGCGATGAGGCGATTGACTGAAGCCAGTACCTAGAATTAGAACTCTTAAACTTCCTTGTCAATTGTCTGTGACAATTAGTTCACTGAAAACAATATTATTTCTACTCTGCTCCCCCTCCACTGGGCTGTAGCGTTTACACTCCACGAGGATGCTTACAGATCATGCATTGGGAAGTCACTGATTTTCACAGTTCCAGAAACACACGGAAAGTTTCTCAGATAGACAGTGGTTTTTACAGTTGCAGTACGTGGGAAGATGTGGGAGATCCTTCACTCGTAACATTTCGAGCTTTAAGCGTGACTACCATTAATAGCTTTCGCATCTTCTTTGCTTGGTACAAGCAGTGGGTAAAGGTGGAAAACAGAAAGCGCCATGAGAATAGCACCGTTATGAGTATGGAACAAAAACCACCAATGGAACACGACAAAGCTCCATGTCTCTTTCGTTTGAGTCGTAGTACTTGGATCAAGCATAACTCCCCCTATATCACTGCCTTCGGCTAAAAGAATAACTCGCAAATAGGGTGAATAACGATCAAGAAATTCGAAAACCCTCGGCGAACCGCTGCCGTTTCGTCAACCGATTTTCACCCTGCTCACAAGCTTGCCGGATCGTCGAAATGGTGTAGCTTTGACTTAGTACAAAAAATCGGCCTAGCTTTTTTTAAGGTCGCGAGCGTTGACTGTAGCCCGCCATTTCAACCTGATTGAGCTTCGAAAAGTGGACAAAACAGTGAGCTTTTGTGAGAAAAACACTTTCCAGGTTTTAGCGCGTTTTAATTCGATTTGTAATTCCTATACATTTTGCATAGGAGGAAGGAACAAGTGCATTGGCAAGTGATTGTGACTGACTTGTGACTGTGACTGATTGTGACTGATTCCCACTCTGTCCAGGAATCAAATTTAAGGTCGAATTTAGCCCAGGCCCACGTCCCATCCCTCCAAGATCGCTTTAGTAGTGCAGGAGTTGTTTAAAAGAACTTCATCCTTTCACTCATTGCTTCATTGGTATGTGGTACTGTTTATTGCATGAATACGTGTAAGAAGCAGCCTACGTGACGCATTGTGCTGGCACAATTTGTACTGCAGTGGCTTGAGCCCTCATTAACTCAACCGAGATCCAAACTCTAGAGGGGCCCACTGCCTTACCTTCCTCCATACCTCCCATTAAGGTGAAAATAGTAGGCTCCTCATGGAAGGAAAGCGTATGAAATTTATACATGTTTATACCAATACCTGAGTGAGGACGCCTCCAAGGTAAAGCGTACCGCCAACGAAATTCCCAAGAATCATTCCTGCAGTGGACGGCAAATAGTGCGCATGTCTGAAAGGAGTAGTACTGATTTGCACTGACTCCGCTTTAAATGTTGCTTTCGCTGACAAAGCTCTGGTGTAATAACTATGAAGAAAATGTTCAAAAATCCACTGGAAGACTTGAATATGCAAACTATAGAGCTCGAGATTGACCCTTATCAATTCTGTTGGGATGATTTTCTTTATATAAATGGATTGAAACGGAATATTTTCAATGTTATCTATCTCGATCGGAACCTTGACCAGAGTAAGTTAAAGAGTCGTAATAAAATTAACTTAATTCAACAAATAAGCCACTAAACTGACAAAACTTACAGGAATGCCGTTGGAGCACACCAGACGAGAAAAACCAAGCATGTGATCAAATTGAAAAGTGCTTTCGAAGCACAGATCGTCAGGAAGGAACTACGGGATTTCCTCGGTCGCACCACGCTGATGAAGACGTACGCATTCGCCGCTATGCCGATCAAAGACATCTGAACAGATCACTGCGAAGAATCGAGGAATTGCTCGATTGCGGTTGGATGTCTTTTCTTGCTTCACCTTCTTTCACCCACTTTCAGGCGTTGCCTGTTATTAGTGGCAACTGGTTCCGCTTACAAGGAGGTCTTTCAGGACATGGAGCGCTTTTTCAAAATGGTTTTCTGCATGTTGTAGAGGCTCATGCGAGGAACACAGAACCATGGTCCATTTTTCCTGAACGCCCCAGGAATGTCAAAACAGTGGTGAAGAAATGGTCCAAAGTTCGATCCTCCGCTTTGCAATTCACGTTTGCGCCTCCGACACGACAGTGACATCTATTCTCGACGATGGCGCCATTTGGCGGCAATCTGGGGCGCCAAACTATATTGCAAAAATTAGTCATCACCGGGGATCGAACTCTGGACCATTTCTTCACCACTGTTTTGACATTCCTGGAGGCGTTCAGGAAAAATGGATCATGGTTCTGTGTTCCTCGCATGAGCCCCTACAACATGCAGAAAACCATTTCGAAAAAGCGCTCCATGTCCTGAAAGACCTTCCTTGTTAATAAGCATATTCAATGATAAGATCGTAGATGGTACCCTATCCACCACATCAAGCGAGCCTTTCACCTTCTGGGTCGGTAAATTAGTGCCAGGCTAGTCTATCTATCTATATATAGTCTATGGTCTCGTCTGTCTATGTGGCTAAAAACACTACTGTACACCGGTCGACCTTCTAAGTCATTAAATAGTATGAATCGCATTCGAATGCTACCGTAGCTCTAAACGTATGTAGGATGCATGGCGCAATAAAAAGGGCCTAGCCGACGCATAACACTGACTGACCTTGTCGTCTTTATTTCTTATAATTTTTGTGTGTAGCGTTTCGGTATTGCGTATCAGCATCAGCATAGTGCATTTCAGCTCTATACATATAGCCTACGCTTAGTGGGCATGGATGGCCCTCCTAAATTACTTGGTGACTTTAACTCGCTGGTTTTTGCGGCATGTACCGCCTGTTAACAATGAGTGAAATACAAGCTGCCGGCTTTTCTTCCCTCTCTCAGTTCTGGGTGTATTTTTTATCATTAGTGTCGCAACTTTATCTGCAAGGAGGTAAATAAAGGACAAAAACAAATAAACAAATAAGACACTACTTGACCAACCACTGATACAAGTACTCCGGCCAAAGTATGGATTTCCACTATCACGTACTCATCCGTCTCGTTCATTCTGAAATAGATGTCTATTATTTGTTCAGTGAGCCTCTTCGAGCACAAACTGTGAGCAGTAGTAAGAGCAATTAATGCACATGAGAATGGCGACGCTAAAGTAGAGCTCGAACTAATAACGAGAGATATTCTTGACCATTCCTAATTTGGTCACGAAGAAGAATTTAGTGAAAGATGAAGCTGCATGGGAAATCAGGCCAAAGTATGTAATGTTCCAGTTATTCCTACTAACATTCATTAGTACAAGCGAATATACCATTAACACAGGGAATTAAAGGAATGGTTAACGGAAAATTCTCGCTTTTCTTCCCAGCATGAATACGTCAATTTGATCCCTAGAATTCAAGGTTTCACGCAAGAAAATTCAGCTTCTGAGGAGAAACAATGTACGAAAATCACATCCCGCGGACGGTTAAGAGCTGAAGGCTAAAACGAGCAATTGTTCAGCGCGCTCTGGCCAGTAAATGCTCCTGAACGAGTTTCTTGAAAAGTTTTTGTTTCGGAAATGCCATAGAAATATTTTGATGGGTACCCAAAACCCAAAAAAAAAAAAACAACAAAAAACCACATTTTTGGGGGTACCCAAAAAATGGCCGAGGAAATGGAAAGGGATATCTATGGCCGTGGGTTGCGGCACCTTGGTTCTGTAAAGGATCCTAATAATCTGGTCACCGAGTCTCCTACCATTTAAAGGATGAAATATCTGAAAGAACTGTTCATGACTTTTTCTGAAAGTTTCGATTTCCGCAGATTTCGAGAGGAACTCCTGGGAATGAGTTCATCGGAAAACCCCTTCAGTTTTAATTGCCTAGCCGAACGGATGACTAATTGTTGTAGGTTCAAAAAATGAGTCTCTAAAAATTTGAATCCAATTAATTATTAATTGAATTAAATCCATTTATCCACATTCTTGTCAGCTTACGTTAGGGCTTAAATGGATAGAAAATGTTCAATTCAATGTTGAAGCAGGCGAATGAAAAGACTTGTAAATCCGACAACAAAGATCTCCGTCTGGCTTTTCCCAAGTAGTAGAAGCGAAAAAACCGTTTTTCCTAGGCAAGAATATTCCCGAACATGGTATGGGCGGAGAAAATGTTGCCCTGTTTACGAGAACGAGTGCCTGTCATTATAAGTAGCACTGATTTTCTGAAGAAAACCGAGGTAGAATGATGAACTCCGTTGAGATCATGAACTCTGCGTAGGCATACGTCGTCGTCATCTGACGAGGAAGGCCGACCTGAAGCACTCTAATTAAACGTGAAGCGAACTCGTTATAAAACATCGCTGGTGTCGCCTATGGTCGGCCATCCCGACAAGGAAGCAACGCACGTAATATAAAGGTTTTTTGAACTTCTAAGGGACTGTCTGCAGCAAGAGCACTTCAAGTTGCCTTTATTACCGAAGTGGGACAATGCGGTCAAATTCGGTTGAAGAATCCTGACATTTCTACCGCTCGTCTTTAATTCTTTGCAACACAAGCAAAAATCAACTCGATTCCTCTTTCTGCCATCACAATCCATGAATGTTTTGAAGAACGACAAAGACGGCAATCTGAAAGGTCATTTGGATGGTGTTGCAGCCGCCTTGCATGGCTGCTAGGCGGGGTATTGTAGTGGCAATTGGCAGCTTACCACGCGCGCGGTCCGGTTATCAAATCCTGGGTCGTGCTTCGCCCGGGCCAACCATCCTTCCGGGGTCGGTTAATTGGTACCAGACTTGTCTGGGAGGATAAAAACACTGACTTGTACATCGGCTGGCCCCCGCAAGTCATTGTATAGGCCACATCGCATTCAAACGCCACTACGAATGTACAAATGGAAGTAGAATGCGTGCCGCATCCCAAAAAGGGATTGATCAACGGCAAATGCTTTATCCTTTATCCTTTTGTACCAGCGTATTTCATAACCCCCTTGAATCTGCAAATTCTACCTACAAAATCTCACTGAATAATTACCCTCATTATTCCTTTTTACCCGAGGAACAGGACCGTGTTCGGATAGATGAGACCTTCAGTGGTAGGGCAGGTTTCTGTCTACTAAGGTCCTTATGTACGAACTTTTCTGGCCCCCCCATATCACGCAATGCCTCGGCCCGCAACAAGGGGGCTAAGGTCTTGCAAAGATCACTTCAACCGCTTTCTTTTTTACTCGTCCGCAGATTTCTGGTATTTGCCCCGTCTGATCAATTACGCTCTCTCTTTCGTGCTCAATCCCTCTTTGCCTTCGCACAAGAATGAGCAAGCCTTCAGTTTCAGAGTCTTTGACGGATTCTTTTCCTTTTTCCTTCACCACCGGTCCACATCACACCAATGATTTTTGGTTTTTGTGCTGAAGCCGCA